TTAATTTCATGTCTAAACACTTTCTTTTGGATAAAATTTAATAAGTGAAACTAATTCATTTTGCTACGGTACCACCGTCGCATTCCGATAACTGCTTTAAACGGTTTTTATCTAAAAGTAGGTGGCAATAGATGAAAAGTGTCCAAATAAACCTATATTTAAAGACACCCTTGTGTTGTGTATCATCGTGTGAGTGAGGTTACCGGAGGCCCAATTACTCCATTCCCCAATCCCTGAATATCCAACAATCCTCAAATCCTAGAAGGCCGGTCACGCACTTCTATTGCCTCTGGTGTTCCAGGTGTCCATGCGCGACGCCGATTGCTTACCATCATGTGATCTGTACGCTCGTATACCGGCTTATCCCATAAAAAAAAACACTCCCCTAAGCTATGCCTATATAAAATAATCAAGTCGCGGAGAACCTAACGGGTAACCAGGGCTCCGGCTCGACGTGCAGGAGAAGGAACGGGGTGGTTTTTAGTTAGTAAGAGTCTGACACTCCCTCCCGCCTCACCTAGACGGGAGCAGTCATTCGACGATTTTCCCCCCTTAAATAAAAAAAAAGCAAAATAATCATCATTTTGGCTTTTCATCAATCTATGAGCTAAGGATACGCTAGGGAACAAAGGTCCCAAGACATGTATCGGCGACATATACGGTGACAACGCGTAACTTATGTCCACACATATCACAGGACATTTGTCCCATGTATCCTTGGCTATAAGTGACATCTAACAGTACAAGTAAGGGATTAATTTAGGTGCTACGTAACGCTAAGTAACCTTTAGTAAAGAGATTCTTTAGGGGTAGTTGGTGACAAGTGCAACTTCATAGTCAAACTGAGAATCGGGCATCTTACTTTTTTGTGGTATAGGCAAACGAGCAGATAGATCACCTGATGGTAAGCGATCAGCGCCGCCCATGGACACTCGCAACATAAGAGGTGTTACTAGTGCAATGCCGGGTTTAGATGCAGTTTATTTTGAAACATACGTGTCTATTACTTTTTTAATAATCTAACTGACGAACTAAATGAACGTCTCCTATCAACACTGCGATTAAATACTTTGATTAATCTAAATCAAATCTTTTTTGATAACTTCGCAATCAACTAAGACATTAATGAACCATCCATTGCTGTCCAATCAACAACAGTAAAACGTAACACAACATCTTATAGATAAGGAAGGATCTATCAATATTATATTTCGCAACCCGCAACAAGATAATATTTGATTCTGTAATACACTCGTCAATTTTATCGTAAACCAGCATATTCTAAGCATTGTTTCGAAGCCAAGTTTGACCGATACAGCCAAACTATAAAACTGAATCTCAATAGAAATTCACAAGACGTGAGTTACACTGCGACACCAAGAGAATATCAAACTTGGGCACGATGCCATAATCATTAAGTCTCCCGAGTTGCGTGGAAGTCTACCAGCACACCACAGAACACAGGAGACATCGCGAACTAGGGCAACGCGAATAACCGCTCCACAACCCCAAATTACAAACAAAATACACCGCAAACCAAATTAGACCTTACAACTAAATAAAACCGCCATTTTTCCGTGCAAATCCACGTGCAACAATCAACCAAAACAAACAACCAGCTCCTCTTACCGGATAAAACGAAGATATCACATTTAACATTTAAAAAATATCACAGAAGTAGAAAAAAATGATTGCAAAAAATGTTGTATCGAAAATCGCAAATGACATATGCTAAACTTGACAGACTTTTAGGTTTTGGAACGCTCTGTCAAAAAATGTAAGCGGCCAGCCCCGGGACCATAGACGCGGTAAAGTTTCAACACGAAAGAGGTTAAGTTTGCAAACGGGAAAATTTTAGCGCGCTTTTTCTCAAGATGGCGGCCGCTGCGACACGTGGCGTTTTAAAAAGCGTGGCAGTCGTCTGCTGAGACTATTTCCCGCGTTATTTTATTTCTAGACGTTACATTTCGCGCTGATTATTTTTAGCTATGAATTTGTATCGGAAAGGGGACGTCGGGTCGTTCACTACATATTGTCGCATGAGTATATTGATGCGAAATGTTTTCTGGCATCAAGCACTTAGGTTGAAATGTTCGTGGATGGTTAAGCGATGACTATTCTTGAGTCAGAGAGATGATGAAATGCACTTTTCGTTTGCTATAACGCAAATTAAGAACGATTTTTATGTGACAGGGGCAAACGAGCAGGAAAATCAGCTGATAGTAAGCAATCAGCGCTACCTATTGACATGATACATTCAATTTTAAGTTGAAATAGAACCTTCTTGATTCTTCTAGATACTATTCAAGCAGGTTTAGTTCATCTTATCTTGGACAGTCAGTCCCTGTACTATCCTTATTGACTACATCAAACGCCACTACCACACAAAATATGACATCCCTTAATCTCCATGTCAAATGTCAGGCATATTTTCAGGAGATCAGTTTTAGAGTCTTGCTGACTGAACTAACATTTCTAGTCTGTGCTAGACTAAGGTGACATTCTAGGACATCGACTAGATTACTATCGATATATATAGAACATTGAAGTTCAATGATTTGGCTCAAGGAATGTAGATTTGTGAATACAGTAATTGCAGCGGCCAACACGAATTGTTGAATTTTCGAATTTTGTTGTAATTTGAATGACGCACGACGTATCTCTAACCCGCATGTTTTACAAAAACTTTTTAGCTTTTGATCGACAAATTTTCTTCACTGAACTTACAGGGAATGGAATTCTCAGTTTTTTTTTATGCAATAGGAGGTAAACGAGCAGACGGATCACCTGATGGTAAGCGATCAGCGCCGCCCATGGAAGTTCGCAACACCAGAGGAGTCCCAGGTGCGTTGCCGGCCTTTTACAGATCAAATCAAACCTTTGTCTCATTTTGCAATTACTATCAGCTTGATGGAAAGTAGTAACTGTAGCCTAAGTAATAAATACATCTGCAACACCAGGGTTATCGCTCGTGCGTTGCGAATTTTGTTAAATCCCTAGTACTTTCTAAAATCAAGTAAGTAGGCCTACATTATCAGATTAAACTATGCCATATTATTTTGGTTTCAATCAAAGTAGTATTACAAACATTTATAAAAATTGACCATTTACATAGTGATAGGAAAAGCTAGAACTACATTTACATATATACATACATACATAACCTCACGCCTGTCTCCCATGGGGGTAGGCAGAGACTATGGAACACCAAATGCTACGATTCCCACATACGTCTTTCGCTAAACCAAAATGGGTATTAGTCGAAAATATGATTCCCAAACAAGAAAAACATCACCAAAAATAGAAGAATGATTCACCCAAATTGGAATCTGACCCATAAATCCCCAAATAATTTTACACACGGCTAGAAAAGTTCAAATCTCCACAGGTGTCTGATCTAGTCAGTTCATTGACATTTCAAATGAGGCCGTATATTCGTGTGCGTGACGCCTACGTGCGCATACGCATGTGTGTGTTAAAACGGACCCAATTATCTCCCGACTGTTTATGACTTCCTCGTACTTGCGAATATTTTTGGGGGGTAAGCAGTTATGTAGGTGGGGACTCCAGCAGCGGGATCTGATAAACCTGATTCTTTTAAAATGCGATCTAAGCGCTTGCTAAGCGTGGAATTTATGGCACATCTTTTGCAGAGGAGGTTCATAGTCTAGAAGTTGATAGCTCAAGTTCAAGATCTGTTGATGGTGATGATGATAGGGTCCTTATTTGCTCTATATATTCCTTGTTGTCTCTTATAAGTGTTGATAGTGGCCACGAGGGTTGGTTCGGTGACGTAAGAATCCTACACTCCCTAGTCTATCTCCCCAAAATCTAGGCACAGTTTCTAGGTTTATAAATTAGTAGATATGTTATGTAGGAATGTAATATTTTGCTGCGGTTTTAAGTAGGCTATGTGTGGACTTTAGTGAGCGTGACCTAATTTTAGCACGGAAATAACTCGAATCATGTGTTAATACAGTTTTTACATCTTATAAGAGGAATCTTTGATTTGTTTGTAATGGGGTCTGTTCAATAACAAGGTTCATAAGAAGATTAGTGTTCAAATTAAAACGAAATTAGAAGTAGTGTTATAAAATTTTGCTACAATCTAAAGTTATTATCGTTACGTTCCCAAAGTCGGGACGAGGCCCTTAATGAGTGAAATAAGTACGATATATCTAAGTTTCACGTTGGTGGTGTTGTTATAGATGACAGACAGTTCAATATAAGGGATATCTTTAGTTTTACTTATGATGAAAAATGATTTACGTACTTCTATATCACAATGGCGTCTTATTGTTGGCCCTAAACGAAAGCCACGTGTTTGTTTAACTAGACTAATTACTGGTGGCCTAAATTAATTATTGGGGCCTCTAACCAAACCAGAGCGAATACACATCAAACAATAGTACTTTAAAATCATCTACACTGGGTAAGGAAGTATTTATTTTTTTATCGGATAAAGTAGACGAGCAGACGTATCTTCTGACGGACAATCAACAAGTTGCAGTTATCGCGATGACAAATATACCACCAGCTCTACTAGGCGAGTAGTGCAGAAGCACCCTAAAAGCGACGGTGCTGCCATCTATTATAGTCAAATGTCTATTGCAGGCAAAGACCCTAAAGACACGGAATCCTTACAAACCGAACACCAAAACCACAAAGAGACAACGCTTAAAACATCTCCAACAAAATCTTGCAGAATAATCCTAAATCCAAAAATGTGTTTGCTGAAAAGGACACAATAAATCTATAACTAACACACACTACATTTTTGTAAAATCAAATCAAAAACACAAAATAAAAACACGTGCAAGAAAGAGCCAATATAAATGAGGTGCTACATTTCTTAGGTGCTTCGATTATGGACGCCCCAACTGCCTAGAAACGGCATAGTAAAGATGTTTACGAAATTAGGATAGTTAAACAAATATATTTTCCAAATTAACCACAATCGAAGCAGCAAAGAAATGTGGATAAAAATAATGAATACTTACCGCTTTGATATCGTCGTAATCCTTCGAATCCAACACTCTTCTTCTAGAAGATGGAGTATCAGGGCTCATGTTAGTATCATCAGTCGGTTCACTAATAGTACTCTCAGTACTCGTCTCCATTGATTTAATCTCCTCCAAGTTCTCCTTCCCTTCTTCACTCTTTTCCGTTCTCTTCTTCAAATAATTCTCATGTTCAAACGTTTTGTTCTCAAAACCGGTACCGCTAGGAGATTCTATATCATTGTCGAGAAGTATTCTATCATCTTCTGAGTCTATGTACTTTAAACTAGCTCGTTTCCTTGGCTCTGCTTTCACATCGTTCTTAGGTGACTCCTCATTAACCGTATGATTTAAGTCTATCTGTTTTTTCGGCGTCGTCCCTGATGAAACGGGCTGCGAGATCTGAATGTAGGAAGCGAAGTTAGACGTATGTTTAGGAGTTTTCGTTTGTTTCTCTATATCATTCTTTATATCTTTAATTTTACTTCCATCTGAATTATTTTTCTTATAATCCAAATCGCCATTTTCTACGTGGATGACTGTGGACTTTTCTAGAATCTTTCCTATTGGGTTGTTTGGGTCTAGCTGGCTTTTAATGCTGGCTAGACGGTCGGAAGGCAGTTTCGAGGTGAGAGAGGTGGACATGGAACTATTTCTATCGTGTATTGGTTTGGCTAGGCATACTGGCTCGGATATAGTCTTACTGAGTGATAGGTCTGAGTTGGAGTTGGATCGGGAGCTGGAGGAACCTATTTCCCAGCGCAACCCGTTCTTTTCGTAAGGCAGATGTACTGGTACCGGCTTTTCGTCTTTCGGGACGATTTTTGTGTAGCCTACGGTCCCGTTTTCGCAGTCCTTGAGCTGGTTTAGATATTGTTCGGTGTACCGCGAGTCGTTCGCGGGTAGTTTCGTTACGGTCATTTTCGGGTCGAATCTCTTTCTGATCTCCGACACGGAGGGCACTTCGTTTCCGTTGGTGTCCTTGACACCGTTTACCATTCCCCTCTTGTAAACTGGTGAGCTTTCCTTATACGATCTTCGTTCCGGTCTCTGGTGTTCAAATATTACGCTTATTTTTTGTTCTCGTGACGTAAACTATGCGACATGTGATCAGTGTGTGTTAGTCCAACATTTAGATCATGCTTTGCTGTAATACCTGATGCACCATTCATGGTACTTTGAGTCAGATATGAGTTTACTAAAGTATTGTACAAAATAGCTGGATGTAGCATGAATGTTACACGTGTATATGGTATTACTAGCAAATTCGCATCTATGTTACTACTGTGACACCTGTTGAAAGGTTCAGAATTGCTTGTACATTGACTGGCGTTTACTACCTTTCAACCGGTGCATGGTCTACTATATTTTGAAAGCTGTCAATTTAATGTTTTGGCTCTTTATTAAGTGCGATGTTAACGAACGTACACACACACTCACACGCGCACACTTTATCTGTGTGCCTGCGAAATTTTCGACAAATAAAAATATGGCCAGTTGTTTGTGGTTTTTGGAAAATAAAACTCAGCTGATGTGATGACCTTCGGGATAGTTTGTCGAAACGAACTTTGCCGAAGTATGATGATGCATGACATGTGATGTTCAGTCGTGTAAGATATTCATGGACTTTTGATTGACAGACAAAAACTCAAAAAACTAAATTATTTTATTTCGTTTCGTAACGAAAAACACAAATTACAATAATGAATGAAGTTTTCAATGAACCGTAAAAACTCTAATGATGATAATTTATATTATTAATCACTATTCTTACCTAAAAACAATAAAAAACGAAAACAAGAAGCCAATAGGTTACTAAGAAGGCTAAAAATGATATAAAACCTTTATGCATGCTGTCAATTTTGACAGTGACATAACACCACAAACCAAATCATTTATAGAGTGAGAGTGTGACAACATATAGCTATCTCGTTTACACCTTTACTATTAAGTTTTAAGTTAGAGCGAGATGACAAGATTTTATTTAAAAATAATGCTGAAACATCTTACCACGGCCGGACATAGGATGACTCCAAATAAAGATATGTTACTTTTATACATATTTTCGTCTGATCGTCACAATGAAAGAAAATACAATAAAAATAAATTGTATACGAATCATATATCTCGGAGGTTATGTAAAAATTATCACCTTTCAAGGGTAAATGACATAGTTTCCATACATATGTATTAAACTTACACTGAAGTAGAATATTTGGTAAATATATTTTTAGAATAATATTGTAATAAAGATGGCGGAGTTAAATACATATGTCACCAACTCTATTCATCCCGCGAGTGTAGTATACCCGACTAACTGACTATAGTTTCTTGCTCGTCCCTCTGCATTCGAAACTACACTTTGGAACGAGCACCTAGCTTCACTGACAGACAGACTGACGGACAAATTTTGACATTTCAAAAATGTCTAATTAAGGTTAATAGAAATAAATGCTTTCACTCTATGAAAGTTTTGACAGAGACCGGGCAGTAGCGCTCTCTGATGTAGAAACCAGTGCCTCTAGCCAAACGCCACTTTAGCGCTTGTCTACAGAGAGAGTAGAAATCAAAATGTATGAGGATAGTTTTTTTTAGTATAGTCACTTAAGCTGCCTTTATTATGTACAGGGCGCATTATACCGGTTTTCAATACTTCCGGATACTTTGCCTGTTTAACACTAGTATTAATTAATTTCACCATAACACTGGCCATCTTGATACAAATTGATTTTATGTCTATGCACCTAATATTGTCCATGCCAGGTGCAAATGACACTGACAAGTGTCAAAATTTACGTCAATCACTACATAGTATAAAACAACGTCGCTATCCGTCGTCTGTCTGTCTCTATGTATGCTTAGATCTTTAAAACTACGCAACGGATTTTGATGCAATTTTTTTTAATAGATAGAATGATTCTTAAGGGAGATTTATATGTATAATACATGCGTATTGCACCGGGGTTATTGGGTCGCTAGTTCCATATATTTTGGTTTTCTACTCTACATGTAGACAAGCACTAAATGGCATTTGGCTACAGCTGCTGAGCCTTTTATACTGTGATCTCCAACCCGCCTGCCTGAGGAGATGATGGCAAGCCCCTCTTATGTAGAGGAGGCTCATAGTGCAGCAGTGGACTGATAACTGCTGTGACTTATTGCCTTATGAAGTAGATATAATAGTATAAAACTATATGTCTATTTATGTTGTCACACTCTCCTCTCATTACTGTAATAGTTAATAATAAATCTGTATGTGTGTAGTGTGTTCTTGTATGCTTGTTTTGTGTGTCGTGTACTAGTAATTTTGTTTTTTTTATTATTATTTTTTATGTTCAATACGATGACGTTTGGCCGCTATACAGGGTGTAAACGGGACGCCGAAAAACGCCGACAGGTGATGGTCAAAAACATTTTTTTTTATGGCTTAAGCCGGTAAACGAGCAGATAGATCACCTGATGGTAAGCAATTAGCGCCGCCCATGGATACCTGGAACACCAGAGGCGTTACAACTGCGTCACCGGCTTTTTGGGGATTAGGAGTTTGAGGATCGTTGGGGATTCAGGGATTGGGGAGATTGGGGAAGGGGAAGGTAATTTTCATAAAAGTAAGGAATTAAATGTTTCTTTAATGTAATAATAGTTGTAATCAACTGCTGGAGGCTGATGCTGCATGAATAACACGGAAACAAAAACAAATTGTAAATAGTATTTCATTTTGTCAGCGTTTCGTTTACATCCTGTGTACTAAATATTTATTTTAGATCTTTAGACCAATTTATAATGATGATATTTATTGGTTTTTTTTAAAGAGGGTCTAAGTTCCTAATAAGTTTTAGTGTTATTTTCGAACTAGGTATTTCATGAATTTACTTAGTGGTTTTCGAGACTAGTCGTTGTGCGACCAAGGCGTCCTAATGAAAGTTCTATAGATTTTTTAATGTTTGAAAGAATCTAAGTAGGTTTAATATCTACGTAATGTTATATGCACCGTAAATACTTATTTAAACAAGAATTTCGAATATCCAAACTTGTACGGTATCAATAGATTTGGTATTGATTTCTATAGTAACTGAGCGTCCTTGACCTCAAGGTTCAAGGTCATCTATAATACATTTATCATCGATCCTAGATTTATACGTCATCTTTTTGTTATTTGGTACCTACATACTAATTGTATATGACTAATCATTTTAATAGGTATTTCTGTGCATCAATAGACAATGTCTTGTTTATTTTTTTATGACCGTATTTTAAATGGCGAATTGGCGATTTGATATTATTTTTTCGTATTAACAATTACGTTTCGATTGTGATCATCACGACAATGAGCATCAGAGTTCGTCCACAAAATAGTGTAAAAAAAAAACTAAAAAAAATGTCAAAACAACCTACAGAGAAAAAATTTCGCAGACACTCAAAATAAAAAATAAAATAAAAAAAGAAATATAGTACATTGATATAGAGAGGATGGAAGTGACAGATCATAATTACCTCTGATATCGTAGCTGCGGAGTTCCGTGCTTTTCTGGCCAATCGCGTTGGGTCAGACATTGGAGGCCGTCCGATATCATTGGATATAGACTTCGACCTTGAAATCTCCCCAAAGTTCTGGTTAAGTTGCTGCTGTTGCTGAATCCTCTGCGTCAAAGGTATGTAGTTGGCTGGTGAATATTTATTATACCAATCTGCGTGTGACATCGCCAAATCGGCTGATGGGATCACAGGACGTCTCCGGCCAAGAGTGTCACTTGATGTTTTGCTACTTTCACTCCTAGTTGTTGAGATATCTCTGGAGCGGGATTCACTTCTCTCTGAGCGATACCTGCTAGAGATACCGCTGTCAGAGTCAGCGATGCTCGGCGCTCTGGAAGTCCTTGAGCGCTCCACAATAGTCTTTCTCTCACGATTCCCATCAAGGTCAGAGAACCGTGATCTATATTCTGACTTTTCGAAACTTCGTATGGTGCCATAGTTTTCGCTTGTAGACCTGTAGTAGGGTTTGTCAACTGTCGATGAGGTCAAAGTGGACCTGTACGAGCCGGAGAGGCTCGATGACGTGGTGCTGTATCGAGACGGTGACACGACGGGCATTTTGGCGGATTCCAAGTTACTTCTTACTGTGTTTAACACATATCCTTATTGTAAGTATGTCTTAGTCTATTCTAGTCTAACTTTAATTCTGGACGGCGGACGTTTTCTTTGCATGATTTCTTCTAATACACTTTGGTTAGTTGCTTATTTGGACTTTCCTGTAACAAATTGTATTTGATTAAAACTTAGAATACTATGAAAAAAAAAAACATAACTTATTTTATAAATATATTATCTATGGACACCAGCGACATTAGAAAAATAACAAGTGTGTTGGAGACAATATAGGATGGCCCTTTTTAAAATGTCACCTATAGACTTGAGATTTCTTTATGGCCTATGCCAGTAAACGAGCAGACGTATCATCTGATCACTGTTACCAACCCTACTGTTTTAACAGTAGATTTGCTGTTTTTGCTTTGATGTCCATGTTTTCTGTTTCATTCTTATTTTCTACTGTTTTCTTTCTACCAAAACAAAATTCCCGATACTATCGATTTTTGAAACATGGACAAGAATTAAAGAATGGAGGAGACTCTCAAACGTTCCTTGCGTTGTGTGAATTACATAGTAAAAAAGCTTTTGTGCCTACCACAGTAGGACCACATAGCAGTGCCGTCGTAGAAAGGTTATTTTCTGCTATAAATATTACGAAAACCAAATTACCTACGTATCAGAACATCGACTACAACTATTAAAGGACAAAATCCGAAATAACCGATTGCTATTCATTTGAATGTGAGTTCTAGTCACTTAAAAATATGAAATGAGCGCTTTTTTCTTTACCTACTGCTTTCTACTGTTTTTTTTTAAGTGAGTTGTTGTTTTTTTGTTTTTTGGGGTTGGCAACACTGCATCTGATGGTAAGCAATCGGCGTCGCCCATGGACACCTGGAACACCAGTGGCGAGGAGATTCAAAGTAGAAATATAATCTATTCAATATTTTTCTTTTCAGGATTTCCTACCATACAAGTTAAGTTACCTAGCATTCTGTTAAAACTCAAAAATGTCCTGGTGTCGTAAGATTGTAAAAATCTTTACCCGATTTTAACAAAATACTCCTAAGAATCAGGTCATATTCAATAGTTTTATGTCTGGGTCTCAATAGCCAGACTACAATAGCGAAGGTTTGCCAAGAAATACACCATTAATGCCAGTATTGGATCTATCACCATACTTAAATCCTATTCTTGTTTAAATAGAATCCTTTGAGTATTTTTATTAAGGATAAAGCTGGAGATTAAAGATTATGGTATTATGATTACCCTAACGTTAACTGGTAGAGAATGCAATATGGCATTCAGTTCGCCTTATGTAGCTTTTACCCGCGGCTTCGCTCGCGTCACAAAAGGTTAAAAAGCCAATGTGACATATACCAATACACACAGCGCCATCTACACCAATGCTTTTGTTTTCCTTCGGGAATATCAAATTTTTCCGGGATAAAAAGTACCCTATTATTTAATCTGGACTTCTAACTATACATCTGCAAAAATTCAAAGCAATCGGTTTAGTAGTTACGGCGTTAAAGTGGAACAAACAAACAAACTCACTTTCCGATTTATAATATTAATAAGGAAGTAAGGATTGTGTAATCAAATCGTTTTCATTAAAGACTAAATAAATAAATTTGTGTAGACTATGGTAATTAGATGATACTTATCACATAGGTCCTACAAAAGTAATAATCATCACGTCTTTAATCCCCGAAGGGTTAGGTAAAAAGTGCACATTACGGCACTTAAAATGTCAAACACCGCGAGGAGACCGGTGACCGCAACCTATTGTTCTTTAATTGTGTCTATTCTATAATGACTCAAAGAGATAATGCCACTGTACAATGTAACACCCACTTTTCACTATTAATTTTATGAGTCCCATGTAATAGGGGGTGAGCCTATTGCCATATACCGGACACAATTCCAGGCTTGTGTAGCATAAATCAGGACAATATAGTATTTGTGCTCGGTATGAAATACTCGCCCCCTATTACATGGGACTGATAACATAATAAATATGTACTGATTGCAAAAAGTGGGTGTATTGTCAATATACCTATTACTAGCTACTTGCGCGCGGTTTCACCCGCTCTGCTCGGCTCCTATAGGTCGTAGCGAGATGGGTTATAGCCTATAGCCTTCCTCGATAAATGGACTATTCAACACAAAAATAATTATTCAATTCGAATAAGTAGTTTCGGAGATTAGCGCGTTCAAAGAAACAAACAAAAAAACAAACTCTTCAGCTTTATAATATTAGTATAGATATAGATTATACTTCCCAGTTCCTGCCATTCTTTATTGTACTATTTAAACTAAGGCTCAGATTTGAACTAACTACCAAAGCGCCAGCTGATGCAAAAGTCTAAGAAGAACATTATGCATAAACAAAAATAAATAATAATAACAATTTTTTTTTAGGTGTAAATATTTAATTTTAATTATTTATTTCAATAAGAAGTGTAAGTAATATCTGTAAGTATTTCGTAGAATAATAACAATTAATACATTTATTAGCACTTCATAGAATTAACACAAAGAAGCCCTGGCTCTTGTACTAGATATCCCTGTATCACATTAAGTTACCGGTCCAATTCAATCCTTAATTGCATTTTACAAGGTTTAAACTTACACCGCTCTCGACTAACTACATTATAGACCTTATTTCTAATATTTAGAGACTACTTTTGTATGAACTAATTTAGGGGATGAATTTCAACTATTTTCCACGGTTTAAACAGATGATTACGCACCCTGACAGCAAGGGATATAGATAATTTACTTGCATAAACAGGGGTGCTTACTCTTGAAACCAATCTCAATGTCAATGCAATTTCAATCCAATCCAATCCAATAGGCTCACCCCCTATTACATGGGATTCGTAACATAAATAGTGAAAAGTGGGTGTTACATTGTACAGTGGCATAATGTGCACCTATGCCTACCCCTTCGAGGATAAAAGGCGTGATGTTATGTTATATTATTCCTGCAACAAAAATTTACACATTCATAAATCTTTTACCCAAACCAAACATCAATACTTTAACATCACGCCTTTTATTCCCGAAAGGGTAGGCAGAGGTGCACACAGAAGTAACACTCACTTTTCACTAATTATGTTATGAGTCCATGTAATAGGGGGTGAGCCTACTGCCATATACCGGGCATATTTCCTGACTCCGTGCTACTACTGAGATTTTTTTTTAAAACCCAGTAATACTTTGCCCGACCCGGGAATCGAATCCGAGACCCCTTGCCCGGCAGTCGCACTTGCGACCACTCGGCCAACGAGGCAGTCCAAACATCAATATACACTATGACCTCACAATTATTCAACAAGACATCACTCAAAATCCAACAAGAGATAAATACCAATAAACAAAATACTATCACCAATATTTTTGTTTACATCGGTCACCATGACAATTATAACTTATCTGAAGCTAATTTACAAACAAAATGATAACAAAAGTACTATAAATATTTAAGCGCTTTTGTAATCTTGTTTCATATGATAAGTAATAAGCTGTACAATCGTCATGCACATATCAGCCAGTCTACTGCCTCCCACAGTCCTCCCTCAATGACTAAGGAAGCGACCTGCATACAGCGGCTCTGAGTTTTAAGTGTTACTATTTACTGATAGAACTTTGATATGAAATTTTTGCCAAAGCTATGTAGTCAGGAATATATGAATTATTCTTCTATCCCTAGTAAGCAGGCCACCGTAACCGCGGGCCTGCGGACGGCGAGCATGGGTGGCTCCCCGTCCGACCAGAAACAGACCCGAGCGTACGGCGCGTCGCGTTCCGCGCGCGCCTCAAAGATCCATCAGACCACCACAGATGGGGCCCAACAGGGCCGATGCCGATTCGGAATCGCGGAGAACTTAACGGGTAACCGGGGCTCCGGCTCAACGTGCAGGAGAAGTAAGAGTCTGACACTCCCTCCCGCCTTACCCAGGCGGGAGCAGTCATTCGATGATTTTCCCCATTAAAAAAAAAATCCCTAATCAGCAAATCTCTAGAGACTAGCCATTAGGAGCCAAAACCATGAAAGATTTCATAGGACTTAAGTTTAATTCTTTTTTAAGGTTTGATTCTTTTTTTATTGACTATGGGTTGGCGTTTGGCCACTATCTAGCCCGATGTTAAGCGATGCTGCGGTCTACTATGTAGGACATCTACATAAGCAACCTATTCACTCAAGAATTGAAGACAGCTATGTGCCCAGGCTTTATAAGCAAACTAGCGACCCGCCTCGGCTTGGCACAGGTACAATATGCATGTATTATACATATGAACCTTCCTTAAGAATCACTCTATCGATTAAAAAAAACCGCATCAAAATCCATTGCGTAGTTTTAAAGATCTAAGCATACATAGGGACAGACAGACGGCGGATAGCGACTTTGTTTTATACTATGTAGTGATGTTGCCTTACACTAGGATTTTCTCCTGCATCATGGGTGCATATACAAACATATAGTATGTCTAAGTTTACCTATAAATATTTAATGCTTCTAAACTCAAAGGATATATTGCCAGCTCTTCTGTCAATATCATGAGGTCAGATAACTGCTGGAATTTAATATGTAACTACAAAATATACTGGGGTGAATGTCCTACAATGTCACAGACACCTGCTGTTGTCATAGTGATATAATTTCAATGTAATAATTATTTTTTTATTTATAGGATAAGCCGGTAAACAAGCAGAAGTATTACCTAATGGTAAGCAATTGGCGCCACCCATGGACACCTGAAACACCAGATGTGTTACAAATGGGTTTCGGCCTTTTGGGAATTTGAGGATTGTGGGGGATTGGGAGAGACTGTGGAGACTGGGGTGTAACTGGGCCTCCGGTAATCTCACTCAAACGACGAAACAAAACGCAAGCGTTGTTTCACATCAGTTTTCTGCTCGGCCGTGGTATCATTCCAGTCGAGCCAGTCCGTCCGTGCCGAAGCATGGCTCTCCCACACTTTGACTAGACTAC